CGATACAATCTTTGGAGGAGCATATCAGGTAACTGCCGGCATGATATGTATTGATATTTTGAACTTTGCTTGTCACAAAAAAAAAGAGCTTATTTTTTAAGTACTTAAAATAAGCATTCCTGGACCAACTTATTTTTTAAGCACTTCTTCCTGTTCTTTTTTTTTTAGTCCCACCACTTATTTTAAGTATTTATACCAAATAGCCACCAAACCCAATTCAAAGAAGGATTAAAAAAGAGAACTATTTATATATACTATGTATATTTAGGAAATCACTTAAATGTACCCTAAACTTTCAAAGCCTACTTATATACCTTATAGGATGGCTTTAGGCCATTTGTTAAGAAAAAAGTTAGAGTTGTTTGATGCATCATTAAATTCTTTTATAATTCCATTTTTACCCCTGTTTTTCCTTCCTTTCCTCTCTTAACTGAACAAGTTGAGTTTGGTGTTTACAGAATCAACGCCCAAGCAAGCTACCTGAACGCCACCTCCTTGTTCCCTTATCATCTATTTTATCTGGTGATTATTGTCATTGTATTGAAATCAGAACTATAAAAGCACCACTAAATAAAAATAAACTTAATACTAAGATGGTATTTGGAAGCGTGGGCATTTTTTGGGACCGATTTTCAAAAAAAAAGCACATGCTTGCTAGACCCATTTTTTCACACAAAAAAACGTCTTGATATGTTTGGGAGTGTTTCTGCGACGTAGGCATTGAGCAGCACTATACTGTTTGGCAAGGTGATTTTCATCACTGCTTTTCATGCATGTGCACAGTTGGTAAGGTGATATTCTGTCATGTATTCGCCATATTAGTGAACCATTGGGGGTAACGGTTCACCGAAGCATGAAACGCCAAATTTGATGTTATATGCATCGGTGGGTCCTGATTTACAAGGCATGTCTATGCTTCAAGTGTTTTTTTTTTTTCAAAAAACACTTGAACCAAACAATCATGTATATGGGCATTTGTTGAAACACCTAACATGGCACCGTTTTTCAGAAAAACGGCCACCTTCCAAACATCTCCTAAATAGTAAAAAGTGAACTGATGATGCGCATTTTGGCAGCTCCCAGCTGGCTAGTGACTCAGATGCTTGGTTGAATGGTGACAAGCTGGAGAGGTGTCTCTGATGCCTAGTTGAATGGTGACAAGTTGGAGAGGTGGCTCTGATGCCTAGCTGAATGGTGACGAGTTGGAGAGGTGGCTCTGATGCGACCTGTAAGGAAACTGTATCAGAGTGCCCAGGTTGCTTTACCCGGGGTGGGCACTCCGATGCTTAAGTTAGCAAATAAGATATTTTAAGATAGAAAAATGTGAGAGAGCTGGAGAGCTACGAGAACGAAAAATTACGCATCTACCTGGGTCTCAGGGACTGATGCCCTTATATAGTTGGGTTGTCGTGGGTCTCGCGAAACACTCCCGAAATCCTCGGCCCACGACGTAGAGGTCTGTTCCGCTTTGGAAGGAGGATAGTGTGCTAGTTAATAAGGCTTATTGTTTCCCTCCGATTCAGGCGGGATGAGGATAAGGTCTACGGTTACGCGGCGTGATCCCGAAAGGTTCAGAGACAGAGGTAGATTGCCAGGTCGCTAGGTCGGCAACAGAGGCAGGTCGCTAGGTCAGCGACAGAGGTAGGTCACCAGGTCGGTAATAGAAGTAGATCGCCAACTCGACGGCAGAGGCATGTCTCTAGGTCGGCGGCAGAAGTAGGTCGCCAGGTCAGCAGCAGAAGTAGGTCACCAAGTCGGCGGCAAAGGCAAGTCGCCAATTGGGACCCCTTTTTGGCTAAGGCAAGTTTTCGCCTAGGTGATGCTGGGATGTAATCCAGCTATTCTGTTATGCCATGTGTCATGATGTCAGTGGAGGGCCAAATCTGCCCTCATCAATTGCCCCTCACTCCCGAACTGAGATCAGCTCAGCGAAGGGAGTAGATTCATGCTTCATCGTAGGTCCTTTGTCCTGTTACCAACATATTTCGAGGTCAGCTTAGGGGTCCTTGATGTTGAAAGCAGTTTGGCTTCCCCTTGTGATATGTGCGTTGATGTTGGAATTTAAATAGCAGGTCGGTGTCACGGCTGCACTGTGTCAGTCCTCTAAGGTGCTGGTCGTCTACTCCTACGACAATCCACAAGGAGATCAACTTACGAGGGCAGCTTTACTAACTATAGGTTGCCAGCTCGCATGGGAACCTTGAAAGGCTTAACCCGCAAGGGCGACTGCAGTCCGTTGGCCGCCAACTCCTACGGGAGCGACAGAGGGCTCGACCTGTAGGGGCGACCTCGCAAACAGGGCTGACAAGGCTCGTCTGGGCTGATTATATGTGTCACCAGGTCAGCGGAGGTAGGTCGCCATCTCAGCGGCAGAGGCATATCGCTAGGTTGTGGAAGTAGGTCGCCAGGTCAGCGGAAACAGGTCGCCAGTTCGGAGGCAGGTCTCCAGGTCGCCAGGTCGTCGGAATTTTGACATTCTAGTTTTGCTCTCAGCACCTCAACCTACAGGCACCTTGTCACCTCGGCAAGACTAACCTGCGAGGGCGACTCCACAGCCAGCTGGCCATCAATTCCCACGTAAAGCATGGAGGGCTCGATCTGCGGCGCGACCTTACAGTTTGTTGGCTATCAACTCCCACGGAAACCACGGAGGGCTCGGCCTATGGGGTGGCCTCACATTCTGTTGGCTGCCAACTCTCGCAGAGAGCACGTAGAGCTCGACATATGGCGGTGGCCTCATAGTTAGGGAGATTATGTCCAAGCAAGACTGCGAGAACTCGTTTGGGCTAATCATTTTGTTTCTGCCCCCCTAGGGGGTTCTTTCGATCAAGCGTTGTTGTTGTTGCTTGAAGATGTTATTACTTGAGGCTTAGAGAATCGGGTGAGAACATAGCCTTTTGTAGCGCATCCCACAGACGACCCCAATTGATGATGCACATTTTGGCAGCTCCCAGTTGACTACTGACTCAGATGCTTGGCTGAATGGTGACGAGCTGGAGATGTGTCTCTAATGCCTAGCTGAATGGTGACAAGCTGGAGAAGTGGCTTTGATGCCTATCTAAATGGTGACGAGCTGGAAAGGTGGCTCTGATGTGACCTGCAAGGAAGTAGTGTCAGAGTGCCCGGGTTGCTTTACCCGGGGTGAGCACTCCGATGCTTAAGTTAGCGAATCAAAGATTTTAAGATAGCAAAATGTGAGAGAGCTAGAGAGCTACGAGAACTAAAAATTGCACATCTATCTGGGTCTCAGGGGCTAATGCCCTTATATAGTTGGGATGTCGTGGGTCTCGCGAAACGCCCCCGGAATCCTCAGCCCACGACGTAGAGGTCCATTTCGCTTTGGAAGGAGGATAGCGTGCCAGTTAATAAGGCTTACCGTTTCCCATCGATTCGAGCGGGATGAGGATAAGGCCTATGGTTACTTAACGTGATCCCAAAAGGTTCAAAGACAACTGGCAAGCTTCTAGAATGGTAGGTCGCCAGGTTGGCGATAGAGGTAGATTGTTAGGTCGCCAGGTCGGCGACAGAGGGAGATCGCCAAGTCGGCAATAGAAGTAGATCGTCAAGTCGACAGCAGAGGCAGGTCTCTAGGTTGGTGGCAGAAGTAGGTCGCCAGGTCGGCAGCAGAAGTAGGTCACCAGGTAAGGCAAGTTGTCGCCTAGGTGATGCTGGGATGTAGTCCAGCTGTTCTGTTATGCCATGTGTCATGATGTCAGTGGAGGATGTGAACTTTCTACCACATTGGCTCGTTTTCCTCATTTCAAAATTAAAGCGATTTTTTTAAATGATGTAGAATATTAAGAAAACTTTCTATATCAAGGGGATTAGTAATGATTAGAAATAATTTCCACGTCATCTTATGACGTTGGAATGGTAATGGATGGGTTGGGCTGGGCCGTGGTGACCGTAGATTGGCTTGATGAGCCCAATATGCACCCTGGTCCTGTGGTCCGTAACAGATTGCAGGAAATTAATAAATTAATGTGAAATAGAAATGGTGCAGCAAAAAATTGTGAAAAAGAAAGGGTATAATATAAAAATCTCCCTTGAGGTTCTTGACAATCATAAAAACCTCCTCTCAAGTTTTATTTTAATTAAAACCTCCTATATAGTTTTAAAAAATCTTGCAATTACCTTCTTTTTATCATTGTCTCAGTACATTATCAAGAAAAAAATATTTTTGTCTCCATAATAAAGACTTTGAAGTTATAAAATTGTCCTTACTATTTGTTAGGAAATCTTTTAATATAACCAAAATGCTAAATTTGTCCTTTTAGACTTCATTCAATCATTATGAGTTTATAAAATTAAATTATTTTACTCTTTAATTAACCTAGGGAATTTTTATAATAAAAAATAAAAAAAAATAGAGTATTTCAGTAAATCTCCATCTATATTGATAAACATAAAGGTAAAATGGGTGTTTTCAAAAAATTAATACATTAGGCCAAAGGTTTTTGGCTGGAACATTGATGAAAGGGAGGTAACTGCAGGTTTTTTCAAAACTCTAGGAAAGGTTTTTGTTAAAATGAAACTTCAAAAGAGATTTTTATAATTATCATAAACTTTAGGGAGGTTTTTCTATTTTACCCAAAAAGAAATAGAAAAGTATGAACGGGCCTAATTTCTGATTTCCACTACAAAATTATAAACATTCAAAATGTCAACAATTCACATTTTATGCATCAACACCCACTTATGAACTGACATCAATTCCGAGCTGTCACCTACCCAACAGTACTTTGGGCCTACCGTCATTCTTCATAGGCCTGAACGGAGATGGCCGGGAGAGGGAAAATGAATTAGATATTTCACTTGGTTGTCTGAACGTGAAGCCTAGGCAAGTATAGCCTAAAAATTTATTGAAAATTGGGTTATATTAGAATTAGAGATGATGGGATCTACTCCTGACAAATGGGCGCCTCACAGGCACATTCACCGTAAATTAAGAACATCTCCGTGAATTATAACTAATAAGTATGGAAGATGTTCTCATGATAGGATGTGATTGTGAGGCGTCAGGTGTGAGGAGCAGAACCGGTCTCGAAAGGCAACAGAGGCTGACTGTTTAAGCTGTTACGCTTTCTCTTCTTTCCTCACTTTGCTCTCTCTCTCTTGGGCGCCAAGGAGGAATTTGCAGAAATGGCAAATTTCAGACCAAGCTATAGAGATTTACCAAATAAAGAACATTCGATAGCTTCCAACGCAGGTAGAATTGCGGACTGTTTCTGAGTTTTATTTTCTTTTCCTTTTCCTTTTCATCTTCACATCGTACTATCAATTATTATCGACATTAATACATTCCGAGGGTGTATTTAGGTGATATATAACCGAGTTTGCATTCTGCGCTCCGCTTAAAATATTCAAATTGAGTTGAACCCTAAGAAGTCGACTGAACTTTGTTCTGAGCTAAGAAACCTTCATTTTTCTGTTGGTTTATAATGTAAAAGCAATTTGAGTTTTCTACTCAGGGCATCGCATTTGTTTCCCTAAAAACTAAGATGACTTAAGATCAGATAATGTTAAGCTTGAAATTATTTTTCACGAGCTTCATTTGACTGCCGAAGTTTGCCTTGCATTCCTTATTTAGATTTGTTGATGCTTAAATCTACGTAGTTTACAAAGTTCTGCCCGATTGATGATTATATTGAATATTAAGTCTGCCGACAACCTTATCCTCATCTTTCCCCCCAAGTTACTGTAAACCATGCTGTTTCTGAAGCAAATACTGTCTTGATCGACGCGATCCTGCAGCACGGCTTCATTTTGACTATTCTGAGTGTTTCTATGTCTGGGAAAAAAAAGTTGAGAATATAGATGACATTTGTATTGCCTCTTATTTGCTTTTCCGTTAGACTATGAACTGCTAGATATTACTGTTTCCTGAATTTTGTTTGCGTTATTAGTAAATTATCTAGATGCATTTTGTGAGCGGAAACAATTTACCCGTTTTTATCTATTTGTTGAATTTTGTTTTCCTTCTTTCTTCCCATTCTGGCTTGACAGAATAAAGTTGTCATCTGCCAATTAAGGAAATGCTGCTTGGTTAAAAAGGAAATTTATTATCAGTTTTCCTGAAAAACTTTCAATTGAACTGAAAGGCGTATATTAGCTCGAGCAGCAACTTGTCCATCTCTGTTTGAATTAAGAAAGTTGAAATTTATCACTATTATAGGTTTTAGGAGTCTCAAACTGGAATCGCACAGGGCTTATTTTGAACATTGCACTTAGCATAATCCACAAAGATGAGCCATGCTGAAGGTTTATTATGTTATGCTATCACATGTTATCAGTTTCTGGGTTGAGAAATGGAAGCAGGGAGTAAATTCCTCAGAAGATCCGGGCCAAAAAGATTTCTATACTGCTGAGAATTCAGTTAGGCATCTGTATTAATTCTCTGTAGAACAGATTTAGGAAGAATATCAGATTCAACAAACTGGAGGTCATTTCTTCAATGGAATAATTTTTACCTTGGAAATCTACAAAGTGAAGGAAAACAAAAAGTTGAGAACAGATCCTGTTATGTTTGAAAGCTAGAAGTTTTAAGATATAGGATGCTAGATAATATAGTATTATGCAGTCCATGTAGTAAATTACTAATTAAAAGTACCTATCAAATTCAGCTTTCACGTAGAAACATCATTTTTGTTCTGTATCCTTCTCTTTAATGATAAAAATATTCGAAGTGTAAGGATATTTATATAACATCTGAAATTTGGGGGTTAAATTCTGGGAAAGAGGACTCAATGCTATTTTATCTTATGCAGGTATCAATGGAGTTTGTATGATGAGCAACAAATGGAGAGATGAACAACACCCATCCTTCATCCACTTCATTTCCTCCTTCCTCAGTGCAAATTCATTTCGACTTAACATTGTCCCTGTTGCCCCTGTAATGACCTTTCTTTCTGGTCTTGTATTGTAATTTTGACTGCCTTGTACTCAAACCAGTGAACTTGTAATTGTAGGATTTCATTTTCAACTGTGGAGGATTATCAGTAGCATTTGTTTTTGTGACAAATTGGGATTGCAACAACATCTCTCCCATTTTTAGCAGGTCCCCTGACAAATGCCACAGTTTTGGATCTTTTGTTTTATTTTCTGTTTGACATCATTATGCTACACAGAGTGCAGAAACTGAAAGAGCAGTTTGGGAACTTTTATGTTGTTGTCACCCTCCCAACCAAGGAGCAAAATGATTCATTTGTTCGATCTTACTTTAAGTGAGTCAAGACACTTATTTGAAACTCATAAATTCATAATTTGGTTTTCCTGGATGTGCAAAATTTTAGTAATTGTTTTGTTGGGGGTTATGTTAAAGGTTTGGAATGGAGCCTGGGAAGCCAACATTTATTCCAGTTCAGGACTTAGAGATGGGCTTTGAGAAGATTCTGAAGATAGCCCATGCTCGTGGGGGTAAGAACCTAGTCATTGGCGCTCATAATTCCTGGAAACTCTACTTAAATGTGTCTCTGTAACCATTTGATGCAGTGTGTAAGAAGCAAGATGCCATTTCCAGATTGAAAATTGAGGTCTGTAAGTTGATTCTTTTCACTGTACTCCTTTCTGTTTTGAAATGTGCCTGAAATATGTGATGTCTTGTTTGCAAAAGAGGAAGCAATTGGTGCGGGGAATGGATGCTTTCCTCAGAGTCATTATGTCCATACCTGGAATTGATAACCATGATGCAAATGCGGTAATTCAATTTAAACATGTTGAATTTCTAGTTTGCATGGATATCTGATGTAACCCTTTATATTGAGGACTTTCCAAGTAAATGAAGGTTCTCATCTTCCTCATTCGTCCCCTAAGTATGGTGCATATGCAGGACCTACCAAGGAGATATCCCTTGTAGGAAAGGAAACAAATTGATCATATATGTTCACCTTCCTGAATATTTGATCTAATGAATTCATCTTGATAAACCTTTAAAAATGTAAATCATTGTGAAAAAGTGGATTGCAGTAGGAATGCACCTATACCTCAGATAACTATTTCGACTTTCTTTTCCTTTGTTCAGCTTAATCAAGCCATTGGTTCTATTGAAGCAATATCCACAGCATCCAAGCATTATATTTTGGAGAACACAGATCTTTCGGCAGACAAGGCAGAGACGATCACCAAGTTTTTCCGAGATCCAAAGTATTACCTGAGCCCCAAAATCAACTAGTCAAATAGAGTTAAGGAGGTATTTCTGCAAATGGATTCAGAGGTGGTGTTGAAGTGATGCCTTAAACTCTAAGGGTTTAGCCTTCCCATAGATTTTCTTCTGTGTTTAATGCTGGCTTGTGTTTTGTATACTGATGTTCTGCCATGGGGCCAAATCATGCTAATTGTTCACAGGTAGTTCTGATGTCTGAATTTGTGCAAAAAATGACTGTATTCTCTGATTGTTAGCTTGAAAATTTCATTGCTACTTTCAAATTAGACAGATCTATGATGGTTCTTCCTCCATTTGTTAAGATATGTACTACAATAGTTGGTGACTGTTATTTTGGCCCTAGAAAGGAGTTATATCCCTATTAACTGTTTGTTGACAGGATCACACACGTCATAATGGTAGTTGGCCTCTGAGATAAGATCTCTTGCAATCAGAAATTGAGCTCTCAGGATGCTATGTTGTCAGGGAAAATGCTAAAGAAACTAGATTGGAGTGGACTGGACTGGATTGGACACTGTTGGTTCTTACTTCTATTGTTCTAAACCTCCAAGTAAGAAATTGACAAAATACCCGAGGAAGTTTTGTCAGTAAAAATAGGAGTTGTTTGAATAGTAAAGATCAAGGACCCGAAATCTTGGGTGTGGGATATAGTCCAGTTCGGATCTCCACAGATTGAATGAGTGAATGGAAGTGCAGGAAAAACTGTGGAAATAAATGAAGGAGATCCGGACTTGCTTCTGCACTTCCATTCAGTCTGGGACGGGTGACCCCATTACACGTGTATAAGTAACCACATGTATGAGAATACACATTTGATGAGTGTCACCTTGGGCTAGTTATACGCTCGTCCTCGCTGACAATATTTTGTTTGGCTAAGAAAAATCCTTGGAAAGTAATACGATGTTTTGCATAAATCAGAATCAAATGTTGAAATTTATTTGATCATTATCAATTTTTTGGTTTGGGCCCTCTTTTTGTTTTAGATGGACCTATTCATCCATGTGCATCTTATAGTTTTCTGAATTGCAACTATTGATCCCAGATCTGCCAAACATGGCTGCTGTTGTTGTTTTTCCATGGGAAGTTTCCTTGATATTACTCCAATTCAAGGCAAAATTTGCCGTATTTGTTGTTTAGTGCAGGTGATTAGTGTAATCCCAAATCTATGTTTCCATACCATAGCACCCAATTAGCCAGCCAAAGGTCCCAACTTACTTTAGATATAAAGCCAAGCTATCTATTTTTAGGCTACGTTTGTTTCACCATAAAAAAGGAAGAGGAAATGGTGGATTTGATGGCTAAGATCGTAGCAAGATGCTTTTGTCTTCGGATTCAGTGCGCTTGGACTCGAAGGGATTTTCTCTTCGAGTCAACCAAAATTTTGACACGGCCGGCTGAAGTTTTACTGTGGGTTATCATTGATAAAAATATTTTTAAATAAAAATTGATAAATATAAAATTTTTGTAAAAAAAAATCTAACTAAATATTGGCAGAAAGTTCGAAACCCTCATGTTCTCAATCCAAATGAATTCAAGCCTTACTCCTCCAACCATTAATGGGAAGACAAATCCGGTTTTGGCTTTGGATTTGCAAGACACGAGACGTCTTCTTCTTCCTCCATAGTCCATACCAAGCTTCTGAAAGTAAAAGCAATAGCTCCAATTCTCCAAAGATATCTTTTCAAGAAAATATATTCAAGCAGTCACACTGTCACGCACAGGATTTTCTTTCATGATAGGCTCTCAAAAATTTCTATTTTCAAAGGATTCTTGGGTTTCAGATTTTAATACGAAAAAGTGGTATTAGGGATTTTCGGACAGAAATCAGTGAGTTCATTAACTTGGCCGGTGTTGACAATTTGCCAAAATGAGTTAAGAGTTAGGATCTTCGGTCATACAAAAGATTATTGGACCCAAATCAGCGGGTTCATTAGCTCTTTTGTTCTTAGTTTCTGCCTTGTATATTTTGGGGTTTCATTCAGCTTTGAACACTTTGATGTTTGAAACTTTCCCTTAATATCATTACTGTCATGGCTAAAATCTACAATTGTCGTTGTTTTGTTGCAGTTTGAACACCATTGATTAGACTTGTTGTTGTTACTGATTGGGGAGAGAAGGTTTGAGTCACGGGGCTTTGCAGAGACTGCACTGCAAGTCTTTTTCGCAAGTTGTAGAATGTGGATTTTTTTTTTTTATATTTTTTATCAATTTTTATTTAAGCTCCAACCGGTTATAAGTGATGGCCAATTAAGCATGAAATGATGTGTCAAAATTTTATTGGACTCGAAGAGAATATCCCTTCGAGTCCAAACGCACTGAATAAACTGGCTTTCTTCATCTTGCCTAATGAAATTTTCAAATGAAAAAAGGCAATAAAATAATGAAGTTAGGAAAACTGAATAGTGAATAAACTATTCGCGAAGTTATGAACAGAAATAGAAAATTGCATAGTGAGAGCAACTTTCAACTCCTGAATTCACAATACAAAATGGTGACTGTGATCCAAGGTTGATGTAAGCAATGAGCTGATATAACATTAAATAAAATGTAAAAAACTAAACTAAACGAGATGATGAAAGATTAGAAATAGGGAATAGAAACGCGAGGCCCACATAATAGTTGAGACGGCTCCTCACAAATGGGCGCCTCACATGCATATTCACATAATTAATAAGTACCGGAGATGTTCTACCTGGATGCTGGACAAAAAAAATAGGCCGCACGATAGATCATAGCTCTCTAAATTTGTTAAACTTAAAAGCACCTTCCAAGTTCCAACACAGTTTCCAAATCAGATGGTTGAAATTCATCTGATTACCCTGATTTTTTTTTCAAGACCATTGGAGTGGGATCTACATTCCATCCAAAGCTGGGACCTGACTCTTGATGCCCAACACGGTCCCATTCGTGTACTATGTACACAGAGTCTGTACTCTGTAGCACAGAAGTATTGACGAATATTCGATTGACTAGGGCTTCAGAGGAGGGACCCCACAAGCCACAATCCCACATTCAATCAAAATTTCCCTCTTGCCTTAACTAAAAGCCTTTCACTGGCTCTCCTTGTTCCTCAAGCAACTGCTGAATTTGACAAATGGGTGCAGTGCCGGGGAATGAGTGATTCTCTCTCTCTCTGGTTCTTCAAGACTTCAACCGTCCAAGAGCCTTGAGAAGTGAGAAGTTGATCCAATTTCTCTGATTGCTTCTCTCTCTCGGCCACACAGCACAATGGATACCCCAGGAAATACTTCCCCTCTCCTCCCCCGGCGGTGGCGCCACCAATTCCCCCAACTATCCTGTGCCACCAGCTTCGGCCTCAAGACCACAATTTGGTCTGAACTCGGTGGCTCCGTAGGCGATCTCGGCACTTACATCCCCATCGTTCTCGCTCTTTCTCTAGTGAACCACATCGACCTAGGCACCACTCTCATCTTCACTTCTCTCTACAACATCCTCACTGGTTTCCTCTTTGGCATCCCCATGCCCGTCCAACCCATGAAATCTATTGCCGCCGTCGCCATCTCCGAGTCCCAAACCCACCTCACCGTTCCCCAAATCATGGCTGCAGGCATATCCACTGCTTCCGTTCTCTTCCTCCTCGGTGCCACCGGCCTTATGTCTTTCATATACCGTTTCATCCCTCTACCCGTGGTTCGCGGCGTTCAGCTCTCGCAAGGCTTATCCTTTGCTTTCTCCGCCATCAAATACATCCGATACAACCAGAATTTTACAACCGGAAAATCAGGCTCTCTTCGCCCCTGGCTAGGTCTAGATGGTCTTGTACTCGCGCTGTCTGCAATTCTCTTCATAGTCCTAATCACGGGTTCGGGTGACTCGGCTGAGAACGATGCTCCGCTTGAAACAGAAGAACTCAGTTCCTCCAATAGTGGTTATCATCGTCGCCGGCGTCTCCACAGATTGCGCGTCTTATCGGCAATTCCGGCTGCACTCATCGTTTTTCTGTTGGGATTGTTATTATGTTTTGTTCGGGACCCATCCATTGTTAAACATCTAAGCTTCGGCCCATCGAAGATCAGTGTGGTGAAGATCACGTGGGAAGACTGGAAGATAGGATTCGTTCGAGCTGCGATCCCACAGATTCCACTCTCGGTGCTTAATTCAGTGATCGCAGTTTGTAAATTGTCTGCAGACCTTTTTCCCGAAAGAGAGGTATCAGCCACAGCTGTTTCCGTCAGTGTGGGAGCTATGAACTTGGTTGGTTGCTGGTTTGGAGCTATGCCGGTTTGCCATGGCGCTGGAGGTCTGGCAGGGCAGTACCGATTTGGAGGGCGGAGCGGTGCTTCAGTGCTGTTTCTGGGCTTGGGGAAGTTAGCTCTGGGGTTAGTTTTTGGGAACTCTTTAGTGAGAATTTTGAGTCAGTTTCCAATTGGGATACTAGGGGTGCTCTTGCTCTTCTCTGGGATTGAATTGGCGATGGCTTCAAGGGACATGAACAGCAAAGAAGAGTCCTTTGTGATGCTGGTTTGTGCTGCTGTTTCTCTCACTGGTTCCAGCGCTGCTTTAGGTTTTGGATGTGGGATTATATTGTTCTTGCTGGTCAAGCTTAGGAAATGGGATTGTTCATTAGGGATTTGGGGAGGATTTTTCTCCAAACCCAACTCTTCAATTGATGTTGAAACTGGAACAGTGTGAACTCACAGAATAAAAGGGTTAATAATCTCAGCTTCTTTTTGTCCAATTGATCCAAATTATATAAAACCCTTTCTTGGTCTGGAAACTGCCATTGTGGTTGGAAAGTCAGTGGTTAGGTTGGAGTTGGACAATGGCCGTTGGTGGGCTCTGGTCCATCGAGGTCCATTGGGCCATAAAAATAATGCTGGCCCGATATTAGTTTTAAAAGAATCCAATGCTTGCAAGTTGCATACATCAATGAGTTTGCAATTGTAGATCGATTGACTTCCTAAACTTATCCCCAAAGACTCCAATGTTGAGTTGATGTGATTGTGACTTGTGGGAGCTGGATTTGCAGAACGGCCAGTTTATTAATTCGTTCTCTTCCTTTTTTTTGGGCTTTATGGATTTGCGTCGATGAATAGCCTTCTTACTCAATCCAAACTTATTGGGCCAAGGTCAGGGGTTGTCTAGGCATTGAGCCTCAAAATCCCACATTGTCCATCACGCATATGACCCAGGGTTGCACGAATGAGCTGATCAGCCCATTACATTTACCGTTAAACAGTTACTAACGGCCATGTATATAGATCTTGCCACTCCAATTCTAAAGGGTCTTCTCGTAAACTGTCTCTAAAGACAGAAGACGTTAGCTGAATTTGATATTTGGAGAGCTGATTAACTGAATCTAATAGCTGTTGTACTGGCTGTGGGACCAATCATTTTGTTCCACGTCAGCCATAAATTTCAAATGATAAATTGGGTGATTGTGGGCCATATGCGATGTAGTAAAAAATGGTTGGTCCCTCAGCCCGTAAAACAACTATCACATTATTCAGTTAATCCTTTCTCATTACACATAGCTCTAGCTGTAATGACATCTTATTTAAGCACTTCGTCGTTCAGTGATGACATCTTACACTGTTACACATGCATTGAGGGCTCATAATGGTCCCATGTTTTAGGTCCACTATACGTCTTGGATTGGGCCTTTTATCCAAGCAAATTATGATTTTGAGGGTGTTTGGTTCTGCGGACATTTATTCAATAAAGGCCGTCACATAGGCGTCATTTTAGCAGTTTATCTTTCTTGTTCTTCCGTATGTATCGAGAATAGCAAAAGTGAAATTCAGTTTTTGTGCACGCCTACCATTTGGGAAAATTATTTTTTAAAGCTTCCACAAACGGTTAGACGTTTTTTCACTGTTGCACTGATGTGGATTCTACTAACGCCTAATTATCATAAACAGTTGTAATTATTACCTTTCTCGGTTTTACAAACAAATAAAATATAAACGTTTAATGAAAAAAACACATACTTTATCTATCCCCCAAGACGGGCCCCTGAATGAATTCGTATCATAAAGAATTAATTAATTAACAATTAAAAATAAAACATAATGAAAGAAAGTAAAACTTTGAGTAGATTTTCTTTCTACTTTCAGCGTATAACCAATACTCGTTGTTTGTTTGTTTCAAGGTGGAGCCCTGGGTGTGTGGTTGTGGCTTTGCCAATGAAATAAAAAGGCCATTGTCCAAAGCTATCTGGGGTTTTGGGTGGGGTGCAACTTGGGTTGGTTACTGCTTCGGGCTTAAACAAAAGCCCAACCGACCCTACCCAAGTAACGGGGCAATACTTGGCTCCTACCATGTTGGAGGACATTCATTCTATCACCTCTCAATTTTAGATCTAAACCCTAAATTCTTAAATTCTAAACCTTAAACGCTAAAGTCCTAAACCCTAAATCTAAATCTTAAATTATAAATATGAACCCTAAAATCTCTAAACCATTAAACCCTAAACCCCTAAGGGTCTGCTTGGTTTGCAGTCAGAATTGGAATTAGAATTAGAATCAGAATGGAAATGGTCTATTCCCATAGTCTGTTTGATTCAGATAGGAATTAGAATGAGAATTGGAATTAGCTGAAATGGGACTTCATTCCCAAGAAAAGGGGAGGGAATGACCATTCCCTCAAATGGGGGAATGCCATTCAACTAGGAATGGGAATGAAATTCTGATTTCCCCCAACCAAACAGTTGGAATGGCCCATTCTGATTCTGATTTCAAACGCCTATTCCTGCGAGCCAAACAAGACCTAAATCCTAAACCCTAACCTTTTGCATTTCTTTTGCAAAATGACTGCTCTCAAACTTAAACCCGATTTCTCATGCTTATCTGTTCGAGATTTTGCCAATGAATTAATTATCAATTATAGGAGGACCCAAATTATAAGATGTAAATAATATTTTGTACACTATTTTTTTTTTGTTAATATATTGCATACACAACTTCCTAATATCTAACACATGTTGATGATTTATGTTATCCTAGTATTTAGGAGTTTGTTTCAGTTTGTTATTCACGTATTGTTTTACCTATTCTTTAGGATTTAGTTGTTGCAGATAGTGGCTAGGTTGCTCTTGGTTAGTGGTTTCATGTGATGCTATTATTTTGCTAATTCTGTTGGTTGTATAGCCTATATATTGGCTGATTCGTTGATGAATTGAATGAGTGTAGTCAAGTATTTCTTTTATACTTCAGTCTTCATATTTATGCATTTACGCCTCTGATCATAACAACACCACCTTTAGAAATCAACTTTGTTTAAAATAGAGAGAAAGAGAATGGTTACTCCCAAATAAATTCCAAACTGCATTCATTGTTTTTTCTACCAAACATCTGATTTTGCTTTCCTTCGCCTTTACCAAAACTAATTTCCGTGGAATTTCAAGGAAATTAAATACCAATCCTAAGAACTAAAGTTTTAAATTTTAAATTTAGGCTTGTTTGGTTTCATGTAAAAACAATGGTTCCTTAAAATTTGCTGTAGTATGGTGCTTTGTATGTTTCTCTTTTATTTATTGATTTCTCTTTGCTACTGTATTTAGGCTTTGCTTCTTAAGTTAAGTGAAACACCAAGTAAATCTTATTGAAAACCATTTGTTCCTACCAATTTATGTGTAATCAAATGCAATGGCATTACGTGGGCTAGTATGTTTAGGGCCCGGCCCCCTCCTAGGCCCTATCCAATGGACAGTTGGGATCACGTTACCATCATCAGTAATTCAGTATGATGTAGGGAAACTCATATGGAGTATGCACAGTTGGGGTTGGGCTAGCAACGAGTGATGAGCTTTGTAGAATTTGGAACTTGGCAATGTTTCACAAAAAACAAATTGGAAACATATGAAACCCACAATGCAAGGCCCATCAAATGGGTGGGCCCCCAAGTGTAGTTTGCCACTTGGAACTCTTATGTGGCGGAGTGGTGACCTACTACCTAAAACCCTATCAGGTTTTGGACATTACGGTGGGAATAGAAAGGCAGAATCTATCTGATTGTGGGTCCAAAGTTCAAACGGAAAAGTGATGAAATTCAATTGAACGTATCATGGGCTGCTTTTGAATTTGGATATCAGTGGGCGGGTGAGCTTGAATTGAATCATCATTACTCGTTATAGTACAACACCTTAACAAAGTAGAAATCATATACAATTGGCCTCTCTCTCTCTTGTTTATTATTATGACCATGACCTCCACTTTGTTTGAACCGACCCGACCCGACCCACTCCCGTTTCATTAGGGATTGCTTTGGGCACATCTCATTGTCATAAAGGAAGAACATTAGAACAGTGAAAAGGGGAGTGCCAAAATCACTCTCACACTCAACCGCAAATCAAGGGCGTCTGATCATCATATCGGTGGTGGATAGTAACAAAATAACGGTTCTGAAATTAAATGTGGGGATAAAATGAATAATGACAAACAGACAGGGATAGAAGAAATTTTTCGAGGTAGCCGTTACTGGAATCACCTTCTCCACCGACGCTGACGTGGCACTCAAATTTGAAAACATACTTTAATACACCCTTTCGACCGTTAGCATTTTATTCTATTCCACGTTCGACGTTCCCCACTCACAGGTCACAGCTTTCACGAGCGTTTTGTGTTTCTCCTTTCCTCCTCTCGGCTCCCCCCCATCTCTTGTCCTCGGTACGTCCACAACCATGGCTACCAGACTGGTGTTTTCAGAAGAAGACATGACTGTCGACGAAGGCCTCGGGTACCCAAAAGCTTACGCCAAGCTCTGTCGGGATTCCCATCTCAACCCTTACTGCAATGCCCCCCCTTCCACCTTCATTCCTTATGTTTTGCCCGACCATGAGGTAAGTATTAGCATCCTCCCCTGCTCTGTCCATTACTTGCTTCTAGTTTTGGACTTTTAGTTCTTACCAGATAAACTGCTTTATGCTGAATTCCTTCATTTTCCTTCTTTCTATCTACGTTGTGTTTGAAGCTTAATGTTGAATCCTGTGGGATTTTGTTCCCTGCAGGCTTCAAGGGCTCGCGAATTAGATGATATGTTTCCTATAACCGACCCTGAAGCGAAACCTTCCACGAAACCAACAATCTATTCTGGCCTTCTATGGAAGCAGCTCGACCACCTCGGGTAAACTCCTCGCAAATGGAGAAAAATGCAACCTTTTCAGATATAACAGGAGGACTCCTGATTATTGACTTGGTATTGTTCTAAAATTTCAGGAATGCTGGCTTCGATCCTGCAAAGTTTCGAGTAGATCCATATGGCAATGTTCTGTATTATCTTGCAGATGCCGCTTCTCCCCTTGCCTGGGAAATCGATCATTGGTTCCCTTGCTCAAGTAGCCACTCATAGATTGATTTTCTTCCCCTCACGTTTAAATTATTTAATTCAATTTACTCGTACTCTCTTTCCGTATACAAATTAATGACTTTGGGGGCCCTTTATTTTTTGGGATTATAGGAGGAGGACGAACTGTCCCAAGCAATTTGAGGATATTGCAATTGCAAGTGTGCAGAAAGAAGCACAACAAGCTGGAATTTCTCGTTCCGTGGTGGGATCTTCAATTGGGTATCTCTGTAAATCAGTTCCTATCTGTATTTGCTTCTTCAAACTTGGATTTTAGGTGAGCTTGCTTGATTATACGTATACCTTTTAATTTCATCTTGACAATCAAAAACCCAAATCCAGAGACCACTCATGCTGTCTCAATAATTTCCTTCCACAGGAATAGAGCATTCTCCCTCTTGTTTTCTGAAGGAGAAAATGAAGAATTGAATTCTTCGCAAACAGTGGATTCTCATGCTTTTCCACAACATTTCATGGAGACAAGCAAACATGTAGGCATTGCTCCAGCTGCCATTGTTTTATCTCGTAAGCCTTCTTCTGATGCATCATTGGCTCTACAGTCTATCGATCTCAATAGGCGATTCAGGCCAAGCTCTCCTGCTACAGGTTAGTTGAAACATAACATTATTTTTATGGTTTCAAAAGTTGTTTAAAACATAAAATAACATTTTCTTTATCCCATTCATGGAAATGTTGCAGCTACAAGGAAATTGTTAGCTGATGATAATGAATCTGTCTGCAAGTCGATCCAGAGGTACAAACCTAGTATCTCAAAGGAAAATGATAATCCTAACATGGTAACAAACCCATATATGGCTATCTCCATGGCCAGAGATTCCCTAAGGCAGAGAGAAGAGACGGAAAAGATGCAATCAGAAATGCAAAAACTGGACGAGGAATTGGATGAAATGAAGAAAAAGAATGAAGATGAAAGGCTTGCTATCCAAGAGTTGGAGTTGTTGCTGATAAAACGTAGGAGAAGGGTCGAGAAATGTAGGCGTCTAGCAGAGTCACAGTCTTCATACAAAGCTCTGCTAGAGAAGATGATTCGAGATGCCATGCACCAGTAAGATTGATTACAAAACCGACTGTTCATGGGAAATAGAAGATTTATTTACCATTAATTACGAATCTAGAATGTTTACCATTTCATTTTTGTCTCTTGCAGGAGTGTCATCTATAAGGAGCAGGTCAGATTGAATCAATCAGCAAACAATTCTCTGATGGCAAGACTTGAAGCACAGAGAGCAATATGCGATTCTTCAGAGAAGGAACTCCACAAAAAGTTCAAACAGAGAGATGAGCTTGAAACACAGATTAGGCCCCAATGGGAACAAGCAAGAAAGAGATCGAGAATGGATGATACCCTGTATGCAGAAAGGGATGATAAAAGTATTCTGTACCTACCAGAAACCAGAGCGAGGAAACCTTCTAAAAAGGAACTAAGAGTATTCCTAGAAGAAGAACACAAGGCGTCTAAAGCTGGTTTATCTCTCAATGAAGAAGGAAAGCAAGAAGAGCTGGAAGAGGGAAAGGTGGAATTTGAAAGCAATACTGACAGAGAGAATCCTGAGGAACATAACAAGTCACTTGATGCTGTGGATAATGAATCACCAATTGAGAACAAGCTTCATAATTTAGAGATCCAAGAACCGAACGAGAGGAAGATTTTGAAAGGTTCAGTTCTCCGAAGTCCTATACAAGAGGAAGATGAGGAAGACAGAAAACAACTTGGAAAGGGGAATGTGGAGAAGTGGCTCCAAATGCTTCTAGACAACACAGAAGAAGGAGACTCTGTCAACTTGCCTACTGTAAATGCTTATGAATGTGAGGCAAGCAGAACTGGTGAAATAATAAGAAAACTGAATCACAAGAATCCACAGAAAGAGGTCAAGGTTTTGAAATTCCCTACCTCAGAGAACAAGCAGATTGGCCTGCAAACTCTGCAGGAAAGAAAGGGTGGAACGAGGAGGAGTCACATTGTTGACATGGAAAGTAACGAAATCAAATTGGAGAATACCAGTAAATTTGAAGTCAGCATAGGCAAAGGTGTTGGGAGTAGTAAGATCTTTGAAGATAATGAGAGAAAAGATAGGGAAGTACGAAAGGAAAAGGGAGGTAGGTCTGAGAGTGCTAGGCCTGTTAGGCCTTCTTCACCTTCTGTGATATTGGGAATGAGAAAGGGGGTAGATTGTATACGGAAGAAGCCTGTGGTAGTTGGGTCTGATGAAGATGCTGAAGAGGCTCTTTTCAATGAGAGTGCTAGGCCTGTTAGGCCTTCTTCACCTTCTGTGATATTAGGAATGAGAAAGGGAGTAGATTGTATACGGAAGAAGCCTGTGGTAGTTGGGTCTGATGAAGATGCTGAAGAGGCTCTTTTCAATGAGAGTGCTAGGCCTGTTAGGCCTTCTTCACCTTCTGTGATATTAGGAATGAGAAAGGGAGTAGATTGTATACGGAAGAAGCCTGTGGTAGTTGGGAATGAGAAAGAGGCTCTTTTCAATGAGAACAACTTCATTAAATCAGCCATGAAGACAATTAAGAAGGGAGTGAAGATATGAAGCAGTATACTGTGCAATTCTCCATGATAGTTTAGGATGTTAACTATTCTTTAGCTGAATAAGTGTTTGTGGTACTCAAATTTTCCATTGTCTTTGATGGCCTCAGAATGCTGGCCATAGCTTCTCAAGTGTTTTCTTTGTCGATTTTTGTAGACAAAGTTCGGTTGTGTATGTGTGCCATATATTTGTTGTAACTATAGTTGTTCCTTTTATAAATAAGAGTGATCTTCATGGTTTTTCACGTATTTGCCAAGCCATGTGAAACAAATTATGTAAGGGTATTTTGGTCAAGTAAGTTCATCTGAAATATTAAAAAGTTAGTTTAGGTAGTTAAGCACCTTAGCTTTATTTTCAATGAGATTCTCCATTTCAGGGCATTTCAGTGTTATATAACGATATCATTATCTCTGTGCCTTGTACCTTAACTAGAGTGATTCATACACTGCCTCTACTTTAACCCCAAACCAACACCCTACACCAACTTTAGAGAGGTACAGTATTGCCATAATATAGTTCTCTAATGCAAAACTGCTCCAAAATAGAGAAGCTGCATCTTGTCTCCAAAGAATTGGAGATGCAGGAACAACTCTGATATCTCATATCTGGTTATGGTCAATTGAACAATTTTGCAGAGTCTGTCCTACAGCTTGATGAGTTTGAACGGCTCAGTTGTCCATACATGTTATACATGTTTGCGGATATCCATGCATCAAGCTGAAAAAATGTGGACATCTTTGATCTATTGACAAAGGAAAGTAGCTTCATTCTATGGAGTCTGACAGAATCATTGCTTATGCACTTGTAGACATGTATGCCAAGAGGACTTCACGCACCCCCCCCGCGCTACAGAAGATGCAACTCTGTTAAGTTACTTTTATTAGATGCATGTGAGCAGCTGAGGGAGCATTACCAGGGCAATGCTTCATTGGACATGTGCTAAGTGTGGATGCATAGAAAGTGCATTGCAGATATTTATCTTTTATATATTGTGTATGCTTTTTCATAGAATGCTATGATTTGGAGGTCTTGCCACTGATGGATATGGAAAAGAGGCTAGCAATCTTTTTATCTAAGTGAAGTTTAGGGGGAAACCATGCCTGGTGTAACCTTCATAGCTGTTCATTAGAAACCATTCAAGCCTGGTTCAACAACACCACTTTTTCAATTCTGGTAACTTGTATGGCATCAGCCAAAGCATTGACCACTATGGATGTATGGTAAATATCCTCAGTAGAGCAGGTCTTTAGAGAAGGCAAGCGATTTTATTAAAAAATTGCTAGTGGAACCTAACGTCATCTAGGAATTTCTTCTCTCAACTTTTCCAGCTATGTCGTATGGAGCAGAGTATTGGGCAGTCAAGAAACATGTCCAGAAAACGAATGTGGCAGAAACGCAAGTGCTAAGGTGGATGAGTGGAAAAAACTAGGAAGTATATGATTAGGGATGAAGTTATCCATAGGAACCTAGGAGTAGCTCCAATAGGTGATAAAATGAGAGAGAGAGAGAGAGAGAGTAGACTAAGATGGATTGAGAACATACGTGCATTGAAGACCACCAACTGTGCCAGTTAGAAGAAGTGATTTGTTATTCATTGATGGGGCTAGAAGAGCTCAGGGTAGACCAAAAAGGACATGGGTAGAAGTAGTAAGAAATGATAAAAGCACTAATAATTTAACTGTGGGTATGGCTTTAAATAGAATGGATTGGCGAAACAGGATTCATGTAGTCGACCCCATATAGTTGGAATAAGGCATGGATGATGATGAACTTTTTTTGCCCAATTAAGGTGGAACTTGGAGAAAAAAATAGCCAGACACCTCAAGTAAACTCTTGTGAGAAGGGTGTCTGTCTACTAACATATATGCTGATAGGGGTAAATGAAATGATATGAACAGGGTAGGAGCACTTACAATAGTAAGGGAATGTCAAAGTCCCGGGGATGCAGTTGGATTGAAGTCAACAGTCAGTATTCATAAATTTTATGTTAGAGACAATGTACCATCAGTCTCTTTTTTGATTCTCAACAGACTGATGCTTCAAGGCAATATGTTTATGAAAGAAGTTAGTGTCATGCTTCTTGTTAGCTGAGAGTAAGAAAATATGAGGTGCCTAACTGGCAGATGCTTGGAACAAGAATTTTGGTGACATTAGTCCCTAAAGCATGTTTTGGCAATGCTTCCAGACTTCCAGTCCTCACCCTGAATATATATTTAGTTCTCCAAGATGTCAGATTACACTATAATGAATTGAAGTTCAGAACATGAACTACATACAACACCATTTGCAATATCCATGGGGAGAACTACTTTGGGATTTCATAGGCCTTGTTGAGGGAAACAAAGAAAAAAAAAATATCCCTATGGAATTAACAGTTTATACATGTAACCTCTTTTTTGTTTGCAGTTGAACTGTCACTTTGAAGGGTAGTAGACTGATTGAAGATTTTTAAGTTTGTTTATCAAAGAAGTGAAGTTATTGATGGCTCATGAACAGGTTATCTTATATGGTTTTTTTTTTTGTTGCTTATGGATATTTGCTACTATCTACCAAAATGGAGAATGAAAAAAAAAAAAATCTCCTAGGAGAACAAACAGGTTTATTGTCCATAAGATAATCTCATCATTCCAAGTCATAATCTAAGAAATCAAGTGACAATTATATTTATTTGCCATGAATTCAAGGTCTTCTTTTACCATTTAGAAGGTTGTATATGTTAGGCTATTTTGACGATTTAATCAGCTGATTTACCTAAGTAATTCTATAGAGATTACTCAAAATAAGGGTCCATCTTACCCATTTAGTGGTGTGTGCAAACTCTTACTTTGATTACTTCATAGTTTTGTACTTTTTCACATTCATGTTGCTCAATAATGGCCTAACTAGCCTGCCTAACCGGCTTCTTTTTCTTGTTTGGGGATTGCATATCAAATAATCATTCTCCAACTTAGACCCGAATATGAATGGCCACCCTAATTCATATATATATAGAAAATTCTGCAAACTGTGGCAGGTCTGTGGTGAAAATAGACATACAAGTTTGTAATGCAAAAGATATTATTCTACCTGGGAAAATTAGCAAGGCAATGCCTAAAATGGAAACATGGTTACAGATTTTCAACATAATCTCCTGGAAATATTGGTTGTAGATTAAACCTCCAAGAAAACCAGTAGGGATAGGAATATATATGCTTTACCAACATTATGAACACTGAGTGAGATTTTCAAGGTATAAATATCTCACTGGAAAAAAAAAAGAGTGAAAGGTGGAAAGACTTCTGCCCACTTGGATTTTACTAAAATAAAACAAGATTCAATGAGTTATAGGACATTGGTCTCTCTAAGATGAATCTTGGCTTCTCTTGACCAATATGATGAAAACGGTCTGCAATAAAAGCCGTTCCTCCTAGTTGCCAGTTGCCACCAACTCTGCTCAAGCACAAAAGTAGAGAAAGAAGCAAATAGCCACTGGCTTAATTGACTGAATACAGGGATTCGTCATTGGGTGCTTAATTGACTGAATATCAAATGATAATTCATCCTCCCATTCATGTTGCATGAGTATTAGGAAAGAAATGAATGTGATTTTCCAAGTTGATAGTACTAAATTTCCTTTTCTTAATCTGAAAATCAGAATTCATTTGCTAATCCTTTAGGCTGCTGCATTTGGAATCAGTGTAAAATGTCATTGGTGTAAAAGTACACTGATGACGTTTTACACTGAACCATGAAAGTGACCGTGCTTTTTGAAAAATGCGATGAAATTAATGTAGTATTTATATTGATAGTCGATGTAAAACCTTAAGTTTGATAGGTTTTACATCAATTATCGATGTAAGACTCCACTCCATCCAAACGTACGCAAAACTGAACCAGAGTGGAGTTTTACGTCGATCATGATTACACTCTCCTTCCAAACACAGATAAAATCAAACTGGTGTAAACTTTTACACCGTTCTTGATTTACACCGATTCCAAACGCAGCCTTAATATCTCCCCAGAAAGTTATTTTATTACTTCAATATGTTGAACCTTCTTATCCACATCAATTAGTTTCTTCTCCCAAAAATAGTTGCTTTATGCACTTCCAAACTCCACCAGTTTTTATTCCATTTCTTGATGTGAACATCCATGATTTCAACCTTACAAGTTAAATCCTTGAAGGTTGAGGTAGTTGTGAAAATTTTCAGTAATACCTTTGGTTGTAAGAAGAACTATTAGATTAGCCGTATAATGTATTTTAAGAGAAATTTTCTGAACTAATTTGATATATTCTGTAGTAGGCATATCTACGAAATTTTAACTTAAAGCACCCTTTGGAGAACATATGGACTTGTGCAGAACTTTGAAATATTTGATACCAAGTCAAATGGAAAGGAGAAAATAATCATGAAATTCTTAGTTGATTTAAGAGAGTTCGAGATTTACTTTCTTAGATAGAAGGTACTTAAAATAAATAGATAAAGTCACTTAATTTACCTAAAGTGGAAGCTTTTGACACCACAAATAAATAAATAAATTCCTTTTTATTTCATAGAACATGATATTTTGTATTTCTGATATAAGTTACTAAGGTGCTGTGGCTTTTCCAATAAAAGAAAGCCAAGTTTTTTTTTTTTCTTTTTCTCATTATATACAGAAGCTATTAGCAGTTACCTTGGTTTTCCTTTTTTTCTTTCATCATTTTTTCTGGTTCACATGTGTTTATTACAATATGCAAGTGTTTTTTTCTTTTTTATGGATGCATATATGAAGTACTTTAAGCATTGCTTTTCCTTTCTCAACCTTTCATTCTATCATTGCCAATTGCCGGAGGCTTCTCCTCTCCTTTGATTCAATATCAGTTAATCACATCCACAGGTCTGGAAATCTGGTTGCTCTTTATCTTGCTAAATGGCGATCTGTAATCTATATTCCGTTACCTGGTTGGGTGACCCCCCCCCCCCTCAAGTTGTATTTTCAATCTCATTGCCTCATTGATGTACCCTGAGATCAAGCTTTAGTGCAATGGAAATGGAATCAACATTAGGGTCATATTCAAAAACAAGAAAAGAATACGCTAACAAAGAGAATTATGGATGTGTGGTTCTGTCAATAACAGAGATGATTAAGTCTACATGAACCTGACAAAGTGACAAATGACCAAACACCTGCTTGGCTCTTTGTGGATTCATCATTCAAACAGACCTAACTGTATTTGAAGCCTTGAGGGTTCCGTTTACCTACTAGTAGTCTACATCACTATAGA